TTGAGAGTCTACAAGATAAGTAAAACAGTTTGTAGAAGGGGGGGGATGAATACAAACACAATATTTTCAAATTTAAAATGTATATTGATAAAGAAGATCAATATAAATTTTACAAGACTGTTTGCGGAAAGATAAGGTAAGAAAACCTATCAAAACAATCTTTGGTTACACAAAAATTCTTAGCAAATGATAAAAGAAATGCTGTAAGAAAAGTTCCTTTATTTAAGCTAGAAAATGCTCAAAGTAAGAATTAGGTTTAGAGAGTGAGTTGCGTGCACTCTGCATGTAGAAGAAACACTTCTATTTATACCCAGTGCATTAAATGTTCATTTAATGCAAAATGGTAGGGTTAGAGTGCGTGTCAAGCCTTAAGAGGAAGGTTTGTCCTTTGCTACAGTGAATAGTACAAAAAGCATTATTCATGAGCAGACATCCTTACCTAAAGTTGGTGGGCAATAGAGTCAACTAGTCGGCTCCGTACCGTACCAACATTTAGAAGGGTATGGGTTTGTTCTTTGTGTGCATAAGGACAAGACAACAACAATCGTGCTAACCAAGCTTCCTTTGATTGCTGAATGCTGGAATAACCTAAATGTCTCTTCAGCATTCGCTGAGGCTTGAGCAGTCTTCACACATATGTAGACAGGCTTGTAATCACTGAGTACCGCTTCAGATCACGTACTCGTCAGTCTCTAATCTTCAGTTTCAGTCTTCGACATTGGATGAAGGTTTTTTGGTGTGAGTGTTGTCTTCTTGAAGTATCCCTGTCTTTGATTGAATTATAATACAAGTTCTTAAGCGATCACTGAACAGGTTCAGTGATGATCATTGGAACTGAAAAGACAGAAATATAAATACAACGTATAAGTGAAAAAGGATTATCATCAAATCACTGAGAGAGAGGATCAACAATCCTATCTTTGTCTTATGGCCAAGGATGTCAAGGATGAACCATCTGAGACATCATCCACTAGTAATCCCTCTCCATCAACCTCTACTAATGTATGTAATATGAATGACCCTTCTTCTACTTCTTCTTGTGATAGCCTATCTGCACTAGATACGCTGATACTGGATCTTTACAATGCCCAAAATGACAAATAAAAAGTTGAAAAGCTTAATCTTGATTTGCAAGAACAATTAGAGAAATGTCATTCTAAGATCAAAGAACTGACTAAGATTGAAGAAAATCTTAAGGATTAGGTCATTGTAAACCAAACTCTTAGCATCGAACACGAGCAGGCTATCGCTAAGCGTGAGCAAGCAATTGCTTAACTCAAGGCTAAGAAGGCTAACACTAAAGGATGGTGTAAAGCCTCTCTCAAGGCCCACTGAAATCATTAGAGCTCAGATCTCCGCCAAGATAAAGAGTGGTCTAGAATATTCCTATGATCAGGAAGATAATATTAGTGACAAGTCCATGCTTAAGTCTTACTTCCAATAAGTAAGTTGTTATAACAAATGGTCATTGGTCCAGCGGTACCCAGGTTACTAGTAAAGTCCTACTTCCGTTAGGTAAGTTGTTGTAACACCCCTAAAATTTGAAAATATCAATTAACTTGAACCTTGATAAAAACCGGTCATAAATACAAAAAGAGAACATTTACCAAAAAGAGCATAAATGTTTACAACTCAACACAAAATAAAGTTTTGTATCAGAGTATGACTTCTATTTAATCTTAGTAGGACTAGATTTAAGTAGGGGGTTACATCAATCGCCAAAGTTGGTATCTTCAAAAGTATGAGCTCTCCAAAAATGCTAGCCCATTCGTGCCTCAAAATGGCACTCCAAGCTCTAGATCACCTTCCTATTGGCTCGTCCTTATTATACCCTGCTAAAACATGACATTTAAGAAGTATTAGGCTAAATCCTAGTACGCTCTCTCATTTTATGAAAGTATTGAAACCACTAAATTTAGTCATATGCTAAATATAAAGGTTTACTCTCCTTAGAATGAGAGCAGTGAGAAATGAGGGGTTGTAGTCTATTTCAAACCATTTTATCAAAAAGGTAGGATACAATCGATATATCTTGTAATAACGAGGAAGACCCGATTCCATCAAGTGGTTGAACACTAAGTAAGCCACATTAAGATTTTGACGACTCACTCTAAGCTTACAAACCATAATGACACTCTACTCGGGGCCTAAGGTAAGAACCTCAAAACTCCTTACTTAGTCGTCCCCCAAGGTTACATGATGAGAACCTCAAAACTCTTTATTTGTCTATATCGTCAAGGGCCTGAGGCGAGAACATCAAAACTCCTCCCCTGTCCTAAACCAATGACACCATGAAGAGGACATTAAACTCCTCTCTTGACATAAGTATGAACAATGCATGTGGATCCAATGCAACAAGATACTAAAGGTGAAACATACTTACTTGAGAAATTTAACCATTACTTCTTACCAATAAATGTCAACACACCATGGCCCCAAATGAGGGTAGGGCAAAACCACCAAATAAGAGTGATTAGTACAATTGAACCACAAATAAGACAAATACAAAGCTTTTATACACTTGAGAAACATTATCCATTATTTAGAGTAAAATCCAAACATAACTATTTATCCCAAAACGGTGAATCATTATGCCTAGTGTCTTATACATCTAAACACCTTATTCCAACAAATATGAGTTTATGATTACTTAAAAGAAGTCTTAGGTCATTACTAGATCTCAAAACTCTCATATTGAAGACAAGACCACTTTCCTAAGAGACACCATTGATGTCACAAAATCGTCTAACGCTTGTTACATAATAGAATCCATAAAGCATTCATCGAAATATAAAGATGTTTACGATTCACACATGTAAAAGCTCTAAAATAGGAAAGGAGCTCACCTTGGTGGATTTCTAATCAAAACTTAGAAAACCAAGACTTCTAGATGTAGAAGATGAACTAGGCACTTGACTTAAGCTTGAAATCCTTGCTCCAAAACCTTCCAAGAACACCTTAAATGTAAAAGTAGATGCTCCCAATCTGATTTAATGAGGAGAGAAAGACAAGAAAGTGAAATGAATGAATTGAACCCTAGACATAATTGGGCATTTAAGTCGCTCTTATCAGTTCCCGCGATGAATGTCGCTCGTGCCCAAAGTTTGGAAATCGAACAGTGAGTCCTGAAGCCGCAGTTTGGCCTCTGTTCCGATTTCCTTAAACTACTTTTATTTTATGAAAAATGTTTTGTCTCAACCACTCAAATCTTCCCTAGATTCTTCATTCTTCACATACAAAAACGTACATATTAAGTGTAAATAATAAAATTACGGGCGTCACAATTGCAAAACATCACTATAAGTGATTAATATGTTTGAATATTTGTCATATATAAAAATATCATAAATTTTTTAAAAAAAAATGAAGGTTTATTTTATTCATTACTCCATCCGTTCCAAAATAAATGTCCATATAATGAAAACAACATACACTTTTAGGAATGTATAATTATTACACTTTTTAAATAATCAAATCACATATACCCTAGATAATAGAGAGATAAACTCTCTCCATCTCATAATTAAGGGTAGAATGGGGAAGTAAAAACTTATTTTTGAGACTGAACACTTATTTTGAGATAAACTAAAATAGAAATACGAATGGAGTAATTTTTTTGAACTTATACTATATACAACACATTTTTCTTAACGATATACATAGAATCATGTACAAAAATATGTTTTTCAACCACATTTTTTAAGGGAAAAGTCTAAAAACCTAATAAACTATCTGATTTTGAATGATTAAGTCTGTAAACTATTTTTTTATAATGATAAAACCGTTAAACTTTCAAAAACCAGTTAAATACATCATTGTAACATATAAAAACAGGTTAATGAGATAAAAATTTAAGAAAAGTCTACAAAGCCCAACATATTATCTAATTTTGAATGATTAAGTCCCTGATTTTTTTTTAACAATGATTCCCTAAAAATTTTCGTAAATCTTTTTACCAAATAAATTCTTTAAATTTTTTTGAACAAATAAATCCCAAACTTTTTTTGAAGAAAGATAATCATGAACTTCATTTGAACGAATAAATTCGGAACCTTTTTTTTGACCAAAAAATATGTACAATTCCTGTCATCGACAACAAAATACAATGAACCTACTAAACAAAGAAAAATCATACCATTTCCATTACTAATTCTGAAACATACAAAAGTTATGCTTAAAGAATGAATTAAGTTAATTAATTTAATTGTTTTATATATAAATATTTGTGTATATATTTATTTATTTTTGAGGCATAACTTTTGTATGTTTTTGAAATTAGTAATGGAAATGATATGATATTTTTTTTTTTTAATTAGTTCATTATACTTTGTTTCCGATTAGATGAATTGTATATATTTTTTTCCTCCAAAAATATCTCGGATTTATTTATTTAAAATTAAGTCTATTATTTTGTTTGTTCAAAAATGTTTCGGATTCATTTGTCAAAAAAAAAATCAAGAATATATTTCATAAACAGAAAGAAAAAATTTAGAAATACATTCGTTAAAAACAAGAATTTAATTAATTGTTTTTCTAAATATATCCTTTTATAAATTATACTAAGAGACTGTTTATCTAAATACTTACCTGGTAAGTGTTTATCGTTAGAAGTCAATACTATAATTTATTTTACTGGGTAAGATTGTAGTACGTTAAAACGTATCATATGCAACAATTTATCTAGTAAATATTTGCCCGAATAAGAGACGTCACCCTCACTTACCGGGTAAGACTCTCCAATTTTATCATCGTTTTTACCGGGTAAGATTCTTGGCCTTGACCATTTTCATCCGGTGAGAAAATCACCTGGTAAGTACTTATCGGGCAATCGTTTAGTAAATGCCCCTAAATAGATATTTTAGAAAATATATTTTTAATTAATTGCCCCAATCAAATAATCCATAAAAGTTAGAAATATTTTTTATTTTTATCCGTTTATCTAACAAACTTCCAAGTCCCAAAGATAGACATTGGAGAAGGTTCCAGATATTCGAGAGCCTTCCTCCACCTCCATAAATCCAATCCTTGCCCAACCACAATCTTGCAGAGTATGTCAACAATGGCGTTATTCGGTGATCCTTTCAGGCGATTCTTCGTTAATCCTCCAATCTATCACGCAACAGCTCTCATGGATTGGTACGAAACCTCACAAGCTCACTTCATAAAGATCAACGTCCCTGGTAACTCTTCTTCCCAATCTTACTCTTCAAATCACACACAAACAGCAATTCTTCCTGCAATTTTTTCAATTAAAGTACCGATTAACAATTTCATGATCATTTCTACCTGAAAGGATTTGGCAACGATGAAAATTAATGAGGTTTTGATTCAAATTATGTAGGATATAGCAAGGATGATGTGAAGGTGCAGGTGGAAGAAGGGAATAGATTGGTGGTGAGCGGTGAAGGTGGAAAGGAGAGATCTAAGGAGAAGGCAGACGAGATTGTTTGGCATGTGGCGGAGAGAGGAGGTGGAGGAGTTGACGGCGGTGGTTTTTGTCGGGAGATGGAGCTGCCGGAGGATGTGAAAGTCGATCAGATTAAAGCTCAGGTTGAAAATGGACTTCTGATGCTGGTTTTGCCCAAGGATCTCAGCCCTAAGCCATCGAAAGTCCGTAATATTCATGTCTCCAGCAAGCTGTAATGGAAGGAAACTTGTAGAAATCCATTTTCTGTACGTGACAGGTTTAAGTAGTTATAAATAGTGACAGGTTGCAAGATCATTATAACTCTTGTAAGTTAAAAAAAAATGGATAAGCATGCATTTAGCAATATTTGTAAAGACCCAATTTTTGGAAGTTGTTAAACGAATATAAAACTTAAAAGGGACATTTGTCTAATCAAAGTCTCAAATAATTTTCATGTCAAGCCTTTATTCCGTGATAGTCGATTCTAAATTCTCTCCTTTCTTTTGTTATTATTCCTCCTGAATGCGAGACGATTTGGTTGCATAATTATTTTTGAAAGGTGTCGGGTGAGCGAAGGTCCAGTGAGTTAATGGTTTTAATGTATACACAATGACAAAAATAGGTTTCACAAACCGTCATAATTTGTCATGCATACGTTTTAAACAACATATTTTACAAAGCTAACAACGTTATGGGAGATGACTATCTCACGTAACATTACCTGGTGAATTCATACAATTTGTTTGTATTTATGGTTTAGACAAGTTCACAAACTATGCTCATTTTTACGGAATCATACCAAGGGGTGGATGAATGTTGAAGGGGTTAGGGTCTTGAGTCCCACCAAAATAAATTTTAGAAACTCCATATTTTTTTACTTATAGTTTTTAAATTAATATGATTGAGCATCCAATAAGATAATTGTGAAGGCCCCCACTACTGTTCAGCCTTCCATGCCTTCCATTTTCTGACTCCTCACAGTTCACGGTCTTCACCTTCTTGGGTTCTTCTAGACTTCAACTCCGCTGCAGGGGCGATGCATGTTGAAGGAATTGGGGTATTGGGCCCCAACAACATAAATTTTAGAAAACCCATGTTTTGTTTTACTTATAGTTTTTAACTTAACATGATTGGGCCCTCAATAAGATATTCATGAAGGCCCCATTACCATTTAGCCTTCCATTTCATCATTTCACACAATTCATGGTCTTCACTTTCTTGGCTTCTTCCAGGCTTCCACTCTGCTGCCTGCTGGCGCACATGGCACATCGGCCATCGTTACGCTACCTGCAACTACTGCCTACTCCGCTCGCCGGCGCTTGGCCTATCGCCGCTTCTTATTCACTTCCTCTAACATCTTCCCTCTTCGTATCTTCCTGCTTGGCTGCTTCTTCCTCACTTTATCCCTCTAACCTCTTCCCTCTTTGTATCTTCCTGCTTGGCTGCTTCTTCCTCACTTTCTCCCTCTAACCTCTTCCTTCTTCGTATCTTCCTGCTTGGCTGCTTCTTCCTTCTTGGACATTGAAGCAACTTTTTTCTTCCTGCATCCTACGACTACCCCAATTTAGGTAGAAATTTTGATTTCTAAATTACAATATTTAATTTTTTAATGACTTTGATTTTGTTGTTTGATTCATATTGGTGATTTAGTAAATGCTTATGTTAGGTTAATTTTGCAAGTTTAGAGACAAATATTTTGTAGGCAAATGAAAATGTTAGGTTAATTTTGTAATTTTATAGGCGATTGGAAATGTTACTATTGATAAAGATAAACCATTGATTTTTATCTTGTTATAGTTATTGCTAGAAATAATGGAAAGATTTTTTAAAAAGAAAGCATCAACACTTGAATCAAGCTCTGCTCTTTCGATGCCCTACGAAATTGATTTGAACAATCTTCCTTGGGATCCAGCCGATAAAAAAAGATTTCGGAATATCATCCTAATCGAAGGGATGAAATAAAGAAAAAATACTTGCTTAGAGGACCTTGTCAATCATGGGGTCATGCATTTCCAAAAAAATTTGTCGGGAGTAAAGGAAGACGTTCTTGTCCGACTTGGTTTGATCAATACGCTAATTGGTTGGAGTAACGGATAGAGATTTTTTTTTGTGTTGTTATTTGTTTATAGATCATTACGTATGACAATGTGGGAGTGATGCATTTGTAACAGATGGTTTTAATAGTTGGAATAAAAGGGAAAGACTTGGTCTTCATGTCGACGACATTAATAGTTTTCAAAATAGAGCACTTAAGAAAAGTGAAGATCTAATGAGCCAAGATCGATCTATTGCCTTTGCTTTTCATAAGCAAACTGAGAAGAAGAAGAATGAGCATATAAAACGATTAAATGCTTCAATTAAGGCCTGTAGATTCTTGTTGAAAAATACATAGCCCTTTCTTGGTCATGATGAATCTGAAATGTCTATTTCCAAAGGCATGTTCTTAGAAACATTAGCCTTAATTGGTGATTACAATGAGGATGTAGGTAAAGCTATATTAAAAAAAATGCTCTAACGAATAATCAAATAGTGTCTCAAAGTATTCAAAAGGATATTGCTGCTTGTTTTGCAAATCAAATATTCAAATCCATTCGTAAAGAAGGTTGGTGATGATGTGTTCTCATTGCTAGTTGATGAGTCTAGTAACGTTTCTAAGAAGGAACAAATGGCAGTGGTTTTATGATATGTTGATGCACGTGGTATTCTTAAGGAGAGATTTTTTGGTATTGTTCATGTGACGGGGACATCTTATTCAATTCTTAAATCTACAATTGATACTTTATTTGTTGAACATGGATTGAGTTTGAAGAGGCAAGAGGGCAAGGTTATGACGGAGCAAGCATTATGCATTGAGTTCAATGGATTAAATGCCTTGATCTTGAATAAAAATAGCTCGACATATTATATTCATTGTTTTGCTCACCAACTTCAATTAGTTGTTGTGGCGGTTGCAAATAAACATGACAGAGTTGAGAACTTTTTAATATGTTAGGAATGGTGATCAATGTGGTGAATGCTTCTTGCAAGCGTAAAGACATGCTTCGACAAAGTTACAAAGATAGAGTGCAAGAAACAATTGGTAAGTGTGAAATTGAAACTGGAACAGGGAAATACCAAGAATTTTCTCTTATACGATCCAGAGATGCACGGTGGGGTTCTCATTACAAAACCATTTTGAGCTTGATTGTTTTATTTCCGAATGCTGTTGAAGTGCTCTAGTATGTTGAAGAGGACGGGGATTATGGTTTTAGTCTCACTCAAGCAACTGGTATTTTAGCATATTTGAGGACATTTGATTCCATGATTTATTTGCATTTGATGTTTCATATTTTAGAGGTCACATACTTGTTATCACAGGCTCTTCAAAAAAAGGATCAAGATATTTTAGAAGCGCTTTCATTGATAAGAGGAACCAAACAACTATTGCAACAATCTAGAGAAACTGGTTTTGATCCACTTTTGAAGAAAATGTATTCTTTTTGTGAAGCAAATGGTATTAAAGCTTTGGATATAGAAGACCGTTATTCAAAAAACGGAAGACTAAGGACCAACATCACCAATCGTCATTATTACAAGTTTGATATTTTCAACACTGTTGTGGACATGCAAATTCAAGAGTTTGGGGATCGATTTAGTGAGGTAAGTACTGAATTGCTTAAAAACATAAAACCTTTAAGTCCATGTGATTCATTTTCACAGTTCAATGTATTAGATTTATTGAAGTTGAGTGAGTTGTATCATCAATATTTTAGTCATATGGAAAAGATCGCTCTTGAGAAACAACTTAACATGTACTATTTGATTGTTCGTCAAGATGAAAGATTTGCCGATTTGAGTGGTATTGCCGAGCTCGCTAGATTGCTAGTGGAAACAAAAAAAAAACATAAAACTTATCCTCTAGTAAATCGGTTATTGAAGTTAGCTTTAGTTTTGTCAGTTACTACCGCAACAGTCGAAAGATGTTTTTCTGCTATGAAGATTGTGAAGTCAGATTTGCGCAACAAAATTGGTGATGAATTTTTGAATGTTGCAATGATATGTACTATAGAAAAAGAAGCACTTCTCACGGTTTCAAATGATGATGTTACTCAATTCCAAAAGATGAAGAGTCGTAGGGCACAATTGTAAGAGGTAACTTTTTATCATTTTTGTATGAAATTGGAGTTAATTATTATTTTATCTTATATCATGCTCCCTACAATATATTTTTCTGCATCCGCCACTGATCATACCGTAGTACACCCCTTATTGGCACACAACATATTTTATAAAATAAGGCACATTTCACACATACATGATATTCAAATATATCGAGAAAATTCCAGGCAAACTTGCATATAACTATAAATAAAACATGCAACCATTTTTAGGAGAGTCACATGTAACTCACCACCCAAGTCGTTGTCCAAACAAATTCTTGAAGTTTAAATAAAAATAAATTACGTCGGGACTACCTACGATACCCAAAAATGATCGAGTGGCTCCCTTGACGTTATTTATCCTAACGAACCTTAAGGCAATATCTTGGTTACGACCATATTAATTAACATGAACGTCCATATATAGTTATATATATATATATATATATATATATATAGTTGGTGGTTCAAACGAGAACCCTTGTGATTACGAGAACGAGAGAACAACCTACTAACCTCAAATTTTTTTAATCAATAATTTAAATTATATCAAATACAAATAAGTCAATAAAGACAGTAATGTAAGTAGGTATTTTTTTTTTATAATTTTTATTTTATTTTAATTAATTAGATATATCCCATTTTTTTGTTGGGATTGATCACGTTCTCGTTGGTTGGGATTGATCACGTTTACTGTATCACTTTCTTCCTTTTCACTTTCTGCTATCCTTTTCTTTCCATCGGTTCATAGTATCCGAAAACATTTTGACCTAGAATGCAGGATTTGAATGTTGTATGTTAGTATTTGAGAATTTTTATGTTTATCACATGTTATAAACATCCCATTTTGAAATTATCTGAAGATAGTTCTATTGATGATGATGAAGGCTCGATAATAATGTGATAACAATAATATTTCATAGTTTTTTTCTAAATCGGTTGTGTTATGATATGGGTGTTTTTTTATCACATGTGATAAAAAGTACATGGAATTGTGAATGTCAATATTTTTAGTCGATTTATAGTTATTGGTTAATGATGATTTGAGTTTAATGTTATAGTAGCTTTATAATTAAGAACTTTGATGTTTATCACATGTGATAAACATCCCAATTTGAAATTGTATGTAACTGTAATCCTTGATGAGGTTGGTTATCACATCCATATCACACCAAATCGTGTAGTCGATTTTCTACGTTAACCCTAACCGAGCGGAATCCTTGATAATTGTGTGATAATCACATGATTATCACACCCATATCACACCAAATCGTGTKGATATAAGCGATARTGTGATAATTGTGTGATAATCACATGATTATCACACCCATATCACATCCAAATCACACCAAATCGTGTTGAAATAAGCGATAACCATAATGCTCATTATGTTATCCCAGATTATTGGGTTTATTATGATCGTGTTTTTTTAATTTTATCACTTTGAATTCCAATATTACCCTTTTGCCTTTCAATTTTTTTGAATTGTTTTAAATTTCATTTTTAATTTAAATTTTTTTTAATTTTTATTGTTATCACAATATGAGATTAATAGGTTGTTCTCGCATTTTCGTAAATTACAGGGGTTCGTTTGAAACGTTCTCTATATATATGTGTGTGTGTATATATATATGTATATATATATATATGTGTGTGTATATATATATATATATGTATGTATACCTATACATATATACACCTAGATATATATGCACGAAGAGTTTCCTAAGTTGATATATCTAAATTAATATGCACCAAACACAAGAGTGGTGCCTGATTGGTTTGAGCTTGTCTCCAAAGGTCAAAAGTACCAGGAGGTCTCAGGTTCAAATCCAATGAGAAATAAAAATCCCTTGTGGCCACAGAGGTTCAAATGCGGTGACTCCGGGCTATCTGCAAAGCAGGTGGTCGTCCTGGGATTAGTCGACTTGCATAGCGGGTTGGATATGCAGGTTAATAAAAAAAAATTAATATACACCAACTATTAGCATGTCATAATAATTTATGCATGCATGCATGCATTACTTCTTTCTCTTTTCCATTGCTCTATATATGCAACATACCTACCGTTTCTTCTTCTTCCCAATATAGTTACTGTATAGACTTCCTTTGTATGTGTCCATGTATATATTTCTTTCACACCTCACAACATTAACGAAGGCATGAATCCAACCCATATTACGTTTAAGATATTTTTTTATAAAAAATAATTCAACCCACCAAGCGAAGAAACATCGGACTATCCAATGTATAGACCGATACACACATAATCCAAAGTTTTATTTTTTATGCCAAAACGAGGGCACGACTTGACAACCCGGTGACACGGGGATTACCGTGTGAAAAACGGTGGGTGTTGGAGGTGATCGCTAGCCACCATTATCCTACGGAAACTCACCCGAATGACCGTTCGACTAAGGTGAACATCTAGGAAACTAAATTTTGAAACGGAAGGTATGAATGGCTTACCAATTGACGCTGAACTAGCTGCGATGTAAAGCACCGTGACTTTCCTTTCGATGTTCACCGTTGTTTTTGCTCACACATATCTCCCTATCCACCACCTTGCCACAACTCCTACAGGTTTTACTAGGCCAACATCGGTTACAAATCATATGACGAGGCCAAATCCATAAATTGAAGGGAGAGTTACGTCGGTTGAGGTGAAGTGGAATTAATGATGCACCTCTTCTTCTTCTTTTTTCCAATTTGAATTTACACATCCAATAATAAATTACCATTTCTATTTTTTTCTTTTACGTTATTATAAACTTTTCCTCCTTAACAAAATTTCGTCCTCGAAATTTGCCTTATGCAAATAAATGAGGATATTTCAACCTCATATTCTTCTCGGGTTCCCAAGTTGCTTCCGGCCCTCTATGATGTTTTCATTGGACTTTCACAAGAGCAATTTCTTTGTTTCTTAGCTTCCTCACTTTCCTATCGATAATTATCTCTGGCTTTTCAATATAGCTAGTGTTTGTGCACCTTAATATCCTTAAGAGTTACCTCGGTGCTCTCATCCGCAAAACACTTTCTTAAATTAGATACATGAAACGTGTTATGGATGTTTTGAAGCTCTTCAGGTAATTCCAACTTATAGGCAACCTCACTGGTGTGCTAAAATCGTAAGTGTGCACACAGTGGGCACAAAATCCCCAAAGTGGCGATGCAAGTGCATGCCGACACTATGATCGCTTCAAGTAATAGAGTGGTATAGTACCAAGATCATTTCCACAGGGACAGGACTTACTGAGAATCAGAGACTTTCATGAACTTCTTGAACATGCTTCGGGTTAAGAAAATAGTTGAGTTTTGATTGGTGCAAAGCGTTAAAATACGAAATAAACTTTTAATATTTAAAAGACGGGTATGGGTGTAAACTTTGCTTAAGAATATCGCAGGAACAATTTGGTCAGAAACTCATGGGATTTCTATAAGAAATCCTATCTCTCGAAATTGAATTCTTATATACTGTGCCCATAGAGTGCCCACAAAGCGTCCAGTTATATCAATCTTAAACTTGCCGAATTAGCTACTAGATAAAAAGATATCTGGTTCCACTAGTCTGAAGATTTATACTCACAACGTATTGTAGCATAAACTCGACTAATATCTGAACATAAGCTAAAAACATGCAAAACCCACATCTCTGCGTGATTATCAAAGACTCTCTCAAATCTTTGTGCATCATCTAAGCCATATTTCAGATCCGCCCATCTCTGGATCAAGGATCTAATATTAACACTTCAAAGTGATCGACTTATCTGCGTTGAGCTTAAGTCTCGACTTAAATGACCAAGCTTAAGAATCAATAAAAATGGCAACACCCAAGTGTGCCTTTAAATTCTTAAGCTTGACTCACACCCACATCCAAAGGGGTGCTTAGCTCATAATGAAATTAGAAAACATAACGGAAACAGAAGAAGAAAAATGCATAAGAAATACTTGAACTGAAATTAATACTTAAACTGTTGCCCACAGAGGGCATACAATACACAGTGGTGAGAATTAAAGACTAACTACGAAAATAAAATTACAAGCAAAAATTAAACTTGCTCTACTGCAGTAGAGCTTGAGAGAATGCTCCAAGGTTGCTTAGCTAAATTGTTGATGGAGTGGATGCCTTCCAAATGAGAGAAAGTCTTTAAAATATAGGAAAAGGTGAGGACAGGACAAACCCTTTACCCAGAGGATGAAAATCTGCATTGTCCATAGGGTAAGGACCTCCCATCACCACATGTCTACTTTATCTCTGGCCTTGTCACTTCTTCTTGAAAGGTTGCAAAAGGTAAAGTACTCTAACCATTAAAATTATGAAAAGAAGGCTTTTACATCAAAATAATGGTAGGAGTACTTTATTGTCTTTTTATAGCTCAACCAGGCCCATTCTTCCAAGTAACTCAATCTTTTGATCTGAACTCAGAATTAGATCCCATTAAAACTCAAGAGAGTTCATATTTGCATTTTGTTTAAATCCAACTTGATGCAAAATACGCCATAGGATGAATGCGAGCAGAAAGTGGGCAGTTTACCAACAGTAATGGGTTTTTTTAGAAAATAATTAAATTCTTGACCTTTCATCACCTCTTAGCATATTTTGGACCAAAAATACAAGATAAGAGCAAAATGGGTACCAACGATACAATAAAATAGGGGTATTGAACAACAAATAACTCTCACAAAATGAGAGTTATCACTCACCTATCCTTTTAGTTATCTTGTAAGGACCAATGTAACAAGGACTTACCTTCCCTCGCATTCCAAAACAAACCATGCCTTTCCATGGTGAACTCTTAAGCATAACTTTTCCCCAATTTGAAATTCTATCGGCTTTCGTCTTTTATTGGTGTAGCTTTTTTGTCTATCTTGAGCTACCTTTAACCTTTTCTTTATCTGTTTTATCTTGTCGGTAGTCTGTTGAACTATTTCAGGGCCAACCAATTGTTTTTCACCCACCTCATTCCAACATAATGACGTTTGACACTT